TACACAGGGCCCCAGGGCTAGGGGCCTTCCCTCTCCACCTCTAGGCTAACTGCCAGACTGCCACCTGGCTGCTGCCCTCACCTCCTCATACAGTCGCCTCAAGAAGTCAATCTCCTGGGTCAGCGCCTCCACGTTGGCCTCCAGGTCTGACTTGCGCAGGTAGGCACAGTCCACGTCCTGGGAAGGAGGGATGTGTGAGCCCTGAGGAGCCCAGCTGATCATGTCCCAAACTCCCCTCTTCTCACCCATTCCATGCAGCCCATGGGAGGAGTCCAGAATTCCTATGTGTAAGCCATCTCTGTCCCTCTTCCCAGCGTGCAGCTGACAACTCCTCCCTGTGGGCACAAGCTCTTGGGTCTGGGGATTCTCTCTACCTCAGAGACCTGCCTCCAGGACACCTTCTCTCTTCTCTTGAATCCTTCCCTAGGAAGCCTCCCAGATGGCTTCCAGCTCTACCACCTGATTCTGTCCTATCCTGGCAATGATCCATGGAGCCACCTGGCCATCCCTGTTCTACTTCATCACACCTTGCACACTGGATTGAGTCCTGGCATGTGTTCAGACTTGTGCAATGGGAAGTAGAACACACCACCTCTCAATGGGCGGAATGAAGCTCTGTGGTTCCTGGGACTGCAGCTATAGACCCAAGCCTCAGAAGCAGAGAAAGGCAGCCTCGGGTCAATGAAGGCAACCCTCTGCACCAGGGCAGGTGCCAATGGGCATTCCAGGTGACATTCACTGGACATGACATTCACTGGGATGCTTCTCTGGGAATTTCTTATCCTGATCTGGGAAGGTTTACCCCTTTGTTCACGAGCTTGAGCTGTGGGGGTCTCTGAAAGTCCAGTCTGTCCCTCAGGGATCCCGTGTTACTCTGCTTCCCATGTCCCTGTTACTTGCCTTCTTCAGAGCCACAAATTCATTCTCAGCTGTAGCTCTCAGAGAGACTTCCTCCTCGTACCTTAGGTGGAGAGAGGGGAGGTCAGGGAGAGCAGGCATGTCTGAACCCTGCATTCCATATCAGAGAGGGCAGGGGAAGAGCCCTCACCGCTAGCCTGCATGCCTGTCAGGGTCTTTCTGGATGGAGCTGGGCTGTTTGAGTCTCCTTCATGAACTTGAGTTGGGTTGGGGATAGAAAGTGTTCATGGGAGGTACACCAGTACTCAGGGCAAGGATGCTCTAGGGTCACCTAGAATGAGGACTCAGCCTCAAACTCAGCCTTTTGCTGGGAGGGGATATCTGGAGTCTTGGACTGTAGCCCCACCCTTCCCCTCAGTTGCATGTCAGTTTCAGCCCAACTGCTGGAAGACCCAGAGTCCTAGGACTGAGTAACTGAGGCAGTGGGACACTCTGGGCCCAGTTCTAGGCCTCCTAATGCCTTGAGCTGAATCTTCTCAGGGTCTGCAGTGCAAAGGTTGAAAGTCAGGAGGAGCAGCTCTTCAAAAACTCTCGGGCTTCCTCCAGGAGGGCTGTCTAGGCTTTAATTTCACAAGAGGGCAGGATTCTAGAATGCCCAAGCCTGGGGGCCTCACACCCTTTGGACACACTCTTACTCCCTGTGCCCTGGACTTCCACCTAAGCCAACTTCTATGCCAGCCCTGCACTCATGGCTCTCACCTCTTCTTGTAGCCCTCCATGGCCTCCTGCACGTGGTTGAGCTCAGCGGCCAGCCTCCCACTGTCAGCCTCCACACACTCGGCCTCCCGCCTCAGCGTCTCGATGTAGCCCTCGAACAGCGGCTCCAGGTTGCTCTCACAGCACTTGCGGTTCTGGTAGAACTGCCACTTGGTCTCCAGCAGCTTGTTCTGCTGCTCCAGGAAGCGCACCTGCCATGGGGGTGAGCGGGAGAGGAGAGCTCAGGGGGAGCTCTGGGTGAGGGCAGAGATGAGGTAGAGGGCTCTGGGAAGGAACCAACTTCTCCATTCCCTAATCTTGATCCCACCTGGGTTTTCACACTGGGAAATGGGTAGACAGGGTCAGTGCACAGTCTTGTGAATCCAGGTAGTCTGTGCCAGGTGTCCTACGCTGGGCTCAGCACCCTCCTCTGAGCCAGGAGAGAGAGGCATCCCCCCGTGGTCAGAGCACCTACAGTCACATCCCACATGGGGTCTGGCATGGAGCCCCGGGATGCTGTCACCAGACCATGGGAAGCTCACTAAGCTGACTCCTGTCCCTTCCTCCGGCAGTCAGCACCCCTTCCCCTCAGCTGGAGCTCCCTCCTCAGCCTGGGGCTGCCCACACCTCCCTGCTGCAGGCCCCTGGGACTCCCTGCAGTCAGCTTGTGCCAAGGCAGCCTGGCCATGCTTGCCATAAGCTCTGCTTCTTGGGACTGTCAGATGAGTCCTGTGGGTCTTCAGTGTGTCCAGGGGGCACTCCTCTCCCCTGAGACTGGGCACTCAGTGTCAGAGGTGTCTCCTCTTGTCCTTCTCAGTGCCCAGGCCTGGCTGTGCCCAGGGAGGGCTCCAGGAGGGTGTGATCCAGGACACCCACCTTGTCGATGAAGGCGGCGAACCTGCTGTTGAGGCCCTTGATCTGCTCCTTCTCCTCATGCTTCACGCACTGCGCATTGGGGTCGATCTCCAGGTTGAGGGGCGTGAGCAGGCTCTCGTTGACAGACACGGTGGTGATGCAGGGGGGAGTGGGCCCGCAGACGCCTCCGGAGCGGTATCCGAAGCTGCGGCCACAGGAGCCTGAGCGGAAGGCTCCGCTGACGCTGCGGCTGCCGAAGCCCCCGAAGCCCCTGGAGAGGCCGCGGTAGCAGGAGATGCCGCGGTAGGGGGCGGCGGAGATGCAGCAGCGGCCTGGCCGGGGCCCGCAGGCCGAGGCGCAGCTGAAGGCGCGGCCACCACAGTAGGATCCACAAGTCATGGTGCTGTGAGGGAGAAAGAAGGCTGAGGCTGAAGAAGTCCAAGTGGAGGTGCAATGGACGTGGGTTCAGGTTTTTGCTTCTTTGGCTTTTGTAGGCCTTTTATATACACGGGTATCCTGACTGTGAGCACGTGGTCAGGAGCAATTAGATACATTTATGAGCTTGGCTTATTTAGCTCCTGTGGCTCCTCCCTAAATGTGCTTAATTGGTGCCCAGATGCAGCCAGATGTTTGCCCCTCCCTTTGCCCTAAACTGCACAATTTTCTTCTTCAAAGGGCCAGCTCACCCCCCCCCCACCTCAAGTACCCAATACACAGAAACAAAGGTTGAGGGAGGTGGTGGACAGTGATGCAGGTTCGCTTGAACGTGGAGAGGAGGCGGGGCTGCAGCTCCAGTCAGCAGGTTTGAGGAGGTCGGCGCTGCTGTCCGTGGTGCTGATCGAACCAGGCCAGGGAGGCGGAGCAGGAGAGAGAAGGGATGATGTGAAACTGGTGTGCTAGGTGGAATCCCTGACCCAAGCGATTCCTTTCTGTGCTCCCTAAGGCCCTGCATCTGCACAACCGCTAGCTTAGCCACCTCCTCCCACCTCAATTCATGACTCCCAATGTCCCTCCCTTCCCCCATCAGGACTGCCTATCTATGTGCATATGAACTCAAACACACACACACACACACACACACACACACACACACACACACAACATGAACTCAAACACACACACACACACAAATACACACACATGCACAGACATGTACACACACACACAGAGACACAACCTGTGGGCACACAGACCAGTCCTAGCCCCAGCTTTGCTTGTCTGGGCCAGAAGAGCACCTTCCTCCCCTCAGTCTTCCCCAAGGTCTCAGGGCACACATTGGCTCACTGGCCCCAGGGAAAATTCAACCTTTTCCAGCAAGTTCTCAAACAAGGATCTAATGTCTGCATTTCACCTCAGGTTTCTATGTCATTCAAGGCCTGGAGTGGCCTCCCTCACTCATAGACACTGTTATATGTCTGTACAGCCTTTGGCCCAGAACAGAAAATCCAGTAGGGCCACATGAGGAGAGCACACAACCCCCAGCTCTCACCAGAGTCCCTGCTATGGACACCCCCCCCCAGACCTCCTGCTCTGAACAGCAGTTTTCCAGTGGCCTTGACAGGTGTTAGAACATAACTATGTCAGCACATGCTGCTCATGCAGCATGAGCCTTGAACTCACAAGAGCTGCGTAAGGCCAAGGCACTTCCTTGACCAGCTCTGTATGACCTGGGAGCAGAGTGCTTCACTCTGCTTGGAAACAGGTTGAGGCTTTGCCTCCCTCAATTGTCCTGGAAATCCACAGATGTGTGCATGGGCTCAGTAAACTCCAGAGCACAGTGCAAACAGGTTGTATCCCAGTCTTTCCAAGGCAGATTGTTCTGACCAGAATTTTCCCAGAGTTCATGTTACGACCCACTGATGGGAACAATCATCATTTTCGGTCATGATATGGATTAAAACAAAACCAAATGGAGTGGAACAGAAAACATCAGAGCAAATTGTACTATTTCATGCACACCACTACTGTTTCCTGGCCTCTTGGTCCAACCATATGTGGTCTGTATGTGTATACTCAGCCACTGTGCAAAACTATTCCTTATGAGGTTGCAATTTTAAAAAGTGGAAATACATGTTACACCAGTTAAGAATATAGATCTGGATTTCAAATTGCCTACTTTCAAATTCCAACTCCTCCACTCTAGCTGGGTAATTCCAGGCAAACTCTTAGCTTCTTGGGGCCTCTGTCACGATTTACAAAATGAAGATAATGATCACACCCATCTCATAAAGTTGTAAGGATTAAAAGAATTCATCTATGCTGAGCATTTAGGCCTGAGGCTGATACACTCTAAGGGCACAAGCAGATTTGGTTTTGTTGCTGTTTTGCTATTGATTCTGTGGGTAGATTGAGCTTTGATGGGGTACACTCACACACCTCCCCAAACCACTTATGTTTCATTACCAGTAATGGGGCCTATCATAATGAGTACTGGGAGAACTGAATAAAATAACATATGGATAATACTTAAGGTAAGAGTTGGCCCACAGAAAGTGCTTAATAAATGTCACCCACTATTATTCTACCATGTGGGCCTATCCCCAGGGACACAAAGGACTGCAGCCTTTTCCCTGGAAAAGAAGCCAAATGTCTTCTCTCCAGTTCAGCCTGACCACCGCAGGGAAGATTTGGTCACAAGCTGTCCTCTCAGCCACTCCTCAGGCAGCAACACTAATGAAAAGAAGCTTGGACAGTCTGAAAAGTCAGTAATTGGCAAATAGTTCATAAATTTGTAGCTTTTCACTTGGCTTTAGCAGATCAGCATAAATCCTTAAGCTGTAACATATTTAAGTACAATAGAATGCCAAGGAAAATAAGAGTAGGCAAGCCCTTGCTGCAGCTGGAGGAATGGAAGCTGGAGCTGAGGAAGCACTTCCTGGAAGAGGGACATGTTCCCAAAAAGACGGTACACTAACTCTTCCATTTAAGAAAGCTGTATATTGAAGAAAACCCCTTCTGGACTGGCCACCTTATTTGCAGAGGCACAGTGGACCTGTGTGGTCTAGTCTAGATACCAGTTTCTTCTTTCAGCTCGGGTAGACAGTGGGCCTTGTACCAAGGGATGCCCAGGAAGAATGAACAAATCAGACCCATTTTCACCTTAAGAAGTCATTGTTCAGAGCTTACGTCAGTCTATCATCCTTCTGGGGAGGGTATTGGGTATGAAGCAGATCCCCAAGGTGGAGGGTAGCTTAGACCAGATCTACCTTCAGATGGGGCATCTGAAGGTTCTGGAGTTGATATATACTTCAGCTGAATCCTGAATCTGTGCTGACTTGAGAGGGAGAGACTGCACAGAGGAAGGAGATATGGACTCTGGGGCTCCAGTGTGTCAGGGAAGACAGGGACACAGTGAGAAAGCCCACAGCGCTTTTCAGAGGTAGTGTCAGATGTAGAGGAGTGCTTGCCTTCTGCCAGTGTCCCTTCTGGGAAAAGCAAGAAAGGTCCACTGGGAAGGGTGAGGACAGGCTTTAGTAAGGAAGGGGCCAGTTCGCGTTTGTCTAAATGTAGAGGTGAATCGGGGAGTAGGTAATGGGGGAGACAGGACCAAGGATAGCAGCTGGGAAGGCTGAGTGTCCTTGCAGGAGTGGAGGGATCATGAGAGTCTTTGACGAGACAGGGAGAGAGAGAGAGAGAGAGAGAGAGAGAGAGAGAGAGAGAGAGGAGTCAGCTGAGACAGAGGCCTAGGAAGCAAGTTGTGTCATGTTCCTGAGACACTGCTGAGAATCTGGACTAGAGCAACCTGTGGTCTCTACAGCTGGAGGATACCAAAGCATCACATGCTGGGTATGCCCTTCCCTGCTATGAGCAGAAAGAGGTGAGGCCAGGACAGTGAGGGAAGTTTGCGGAAGGGGCATGTTTACACACTAGCAGAACTCTTCAGCTTTGGTGAAGGAACTGACCTCACGTCTAGCCTCTAGGCATGTGGCTGGATTGGCAAGTTGGAGAACATTTTATATCAGAGCCCTGCTTCTCCTCCACCACTGCTCAAGATACTGCCTAAAAGCTAGAAGACTTCTGGGATACCTGGAGTGGCTGGAGCCCAGCCCTGGAGCTCTGCCTGCTGAGGTTCACCTCCTAACTCCTGTGCCCACCTGTGAGAGTTCATCACTATGCATCTGGGCTAGACTGCCATTCTGCAAACATGTCTGGACCCTGCCCTTATGCTGAACCCTTCCCTCACAGACTCTTTGACATCGTCCTCCTTCTTCTCCTCCTCCTCCTCCCTTCATCTCTTCCTGCTGGAATGTCCTCACCATACTATGCTCCCTGGGTCGTTACCTTCTTGCCTTCCACTGTCTTCCACCCCTCTCCTCCTCTGAGTGCCCCTCCATCACCTCTCTCACCCTTCCCAGTCACACCCATCCAGCTTCCTTCCCTTCTTTCAAGTGGTCCTCAATAGTGATCATCTAAGATCCTACATCTCCTTCTCCCCCTAAACATTTCCCCCTATTCACACCCCTCCTTCCATCCCCAACCTGACACACACCTCCATCTACTCTGTCCCTGAGGCCTTCGGGATCTTTGCCTTCACTGGTTGGCTCACTGTAGTCAAGAACATATCTCCCTTACTTCACTCCTTCTAGTCCCAGCAAGGAACATCACCCTTTCCCACCCCAAACCCAGGAATGGCAACCTCCTGGTTTGCTTCATTTGTCCCCACCCTATTGACCACAAAGCTTTGTACAATTGGCCACAAAGCTCTGATGGCCCCATTACTCAGTACTTAATGTGAAGCTGGTACTCACTATACTCATTCAACAGACATTTATTGAGCACCTACTATGTGCCAAGCCCTTGGAATGTATCCACAAACAAAACCTTTAGGCACACTGATATGTTGCAGGATGTGCTTCTTTGCTCATGATCTGGGTACATGCCCAGCTTTGCTCTTAGAGCTAGAAGCACACCAACAGTAAGGATGAGTTCTCCTCCACCCTCCAATCTGGCATCCCGAGAGCACTCTGCAAGGAGGTCTTTGAAGAAGGTGTTGAAGAGGCAATGAGAGAACGTGTCTGTTTACATATCCGTGCAAATACATCTACACTGTGGGATAGATGGTGGGCAGATGGGATTGCAAGAAATGAAATGTATCCCTTCCACTGGGGTCCAGCACAAGACTCTAAGGTCAGATGCCTAACCTTCTAACCCTCTAACCCTCACCCTGAGCTACTTCCCTAGGCCTCAGTGTTTCAGAACACCAGCCTTAAGGGGAGCGGATTGTAAGAATTACCCAAGGGCCAGCAAGATGGTTCAGTGGGAAAGGGTGCTTGCCGCCGAGGCTGACAACCCAAATTCAATACACAGGACCCACACAGACCCACAGAAAATCAATTTCCAAAAGTTGTCCTCTGACCTCCACAAGCATGCTGGGGGAGGGGGGCACAGATACACATGCAATAAATATAATGAAAATATTTTTAGAATATAAAAATTAATTCATGCATATTGGTCTCTGGGAATAGTATCTAGCATGAGCTTAGGTTTATATTTGGAAGACTATTCTATTCACAAAATAGTTTTCCACACTAAATGCATGCCTACACAACATTTAAGGAAAAAAAACCTTACACCCTAGAAAAAGCCCTGTGTGTGGCTACAGTGCATCAGAAGATGGGAAAGAATGTTTGTGACTGCTCTCTTTGTTGCACGGAACACCAGAACATGAGCCTATCTGGATAGAAAGGTGACTGAACTGGGGTCTGTTCATGATGAGCATATTCCAAGTGAAAAGGACGTAGGAGAGCTAGCTACACAGAACAGAGGGAGTCAAACACAGAAGATGTACAATATGATGCCGTGTATATGAGACTGAAAAGCTGGGAAGCGGAGCACTGTGTCTCTGAGGGACATGCACGGTGTTTCTTAAACTGTAAGGAGAAGGAATAAATAATCATGAGATCCAGGCAATGGGTCCCCCAAGGTCAAGTTTGTAGGGAGCTCTTGAGGAGCTCTACTTCTTCCTATAGGACTAGGCACACAAGTTCTACATTTTCTTGTCTATTAACATAGCTCACGATAAAAATAATTTTAACTTCATAAAGTTACAGTGCATTAACTTTACTCTTCCAGAGCCAAGATGTTAGAATGATGGTTCAGCCAATCTTCTCCCCAACCCCTGCCCCTCCCCCTCTTTCTGGGCCCCTACCTCCCCCTTTCCTTTTACAGCTTTTCACTGGAAGTGAACAGGCTAAATAAAAATCCTTTTAGGTGTTCAGAAATTAGCAGCAATCAACGACCCCTGAAGTCTAAAGAAGTGATGTCCCATTGAGTTTCTCTGTATCTTATTCTAAATTGCTTCTCAGGTCTTGAAAATTGCTTAGCAAGAGCCAGCCATTAGTAATGGGCTCATATTTGTGCATGACATTTTTATGGGGCGTTCCCCTGGCAGGAAAGGCAGTCTGTGAGGTGCACATTGACTCAGCATCCTGATCCAGGGACATCCAGCCAGCTGATTTGCTGGGGACACTGTTGTGGGCAGTACCCAGAATGTGGGTTCAAAAAGCTTTGACAGTGTTGGCTCAGCTACCTTAACACATAAAGTAGCAGCAGGTGCCACACCCATCTAGGTGACCAGATGGCTGGCACAGCCCTTGACTCCATGTCTGTCCTGTCAAACTCTGACTCCTCTGCACATATGTTCAGAGCCCTGCCTCTGGTTTCTTCCTTCCTGCCTTTTCTACCAAGCACACACCCTGTTCCTCCCTAGGGCCTCTCTGCTTGCCTGGGCCCAGAGGGACTGCTAGTTATGCCACAGCAACACCCTGCCCTTGGTACTTTCCCAAACGGTTTTACTAAGAAATTCTCTTGGGATAGGAATGGCTCCTGGGTAAGTAGGATGTGGTATGGTACATTGAAGTAATTACAATTTGCCTACAGGGTACAAGTAGCTAAAACTGATGCTTTCCACAACCTTGCTGGTGCTCACATCCATGAGACCACCTCTCATCTCCATACCAGCTCCACACTACCTGAGGTCACGTGCCCCACCAGCCCCTTCCAGTCTAGTCTTCCAAACCCTCAACTCTGCCATCTTTCTTAGACTCCCCAAGTCCACAGATATCACCCACCAACCAGATTTCTCCACCCTCTGGAACTTCCTCAGGAAATGGGGGGGGGGTAGGGAGAATTCTCATAGTTGTAGGGGAAGAGGCTCAGCACCACCTAAATCTACCACTTGCCAGCTGGGAGATTTTGGGAAATTTTCTCAACCTCTCTGAACTTCCATTTCTTCTTCTGTGAAACAGGAGTAATAGCACATATTTGAAATGGCTGCCGTAAGAGCAAAATCTCTAGATTGTTTAGTGCTTAAACTGATAAGACATAGTAGGCAACCCATGTGAAAGAGTGGGTTGTGTGTTTCCTACAGAGTTCTTGCTCCTTATAAAGGGAAGAAAATACTCAAGCCATCCAACTTCAAATTCACAATCAGACCTTTTGTGCCTCCTGCTCTGACACAGAAAGAGATGTTGATACCCAGTATCTTTTATGAAATAGTCTTCCCTAAAATGTTAACTTTGAAACCAGTCAAGCCTACAGTCCGGCACTATCTCAGAGAATTTTATGGGAGGACAAATGTCCCTTATTGGTGCTGTGCAGTAAATAGGCACCACTTACGAGTAGATAGTGAGGGCTTGAATGTCCACAGCACAAGTAGAGAGCTAAAGTCCACTGGATGAAACTTCCACACATACCTATTATGTTCCATACTGGATAGTCCAGCTAAAGCTCTAACTTCCCATCCAGAGGACACAAGGGAAGAGAGTGGCAGGTTAAACTATTAAAATCTATTTGAAAATAATCCTAGGACAATTGGGGAAATTGAATATGGAATGGATTGTAAGTGATTCTCTGGAATTATTACTTTTCTTGTATGTAAAAAAAGGTAATGAACTAATTTTTAAGAGATGTTGCAGAATGCACTGGGGTGTAGCTCAGTGGAAGAGCACTTGCCTAGTGTACTCAAGGCCCTGGGTTTAATTCCCAGAGAGAGGAAGGGGGAAGACAGGAAGAGGAGGAAGAGGAGGAAAAAAGGAAGGAAGGGGAGAA